TATGACTAGCACGCCGTAAATTATGGCCATATGCATCATACAAATGGCATATAAAACTTGAGCAAATTTTAAGGAAGATGGAAAATGACATGAACGAGTTGCAAAGCTTAGAGTTCAATAATTTAGGGTATGATGGTGATTGGAACGGTGGCTATGCATTTCGCAGAGCTGTATGTTTCCTAGATATTTGCAGACATTATTGATTTAATTTATTTCTGTAATTTGACAGCAGTCTTTAATTCGTATGAGAGTTTTGTATGTGAAAATCCATAAATATATAGAAAACATGGAACACATGTTATTTGCTTTACCAAGCTATTGCTAATATAATTATTTTCAAGAACTATGAGCAAGGGGGGAATCTTTAACATCCATTTACGAATTTATTTGAATAGATAGGGTGACTCCCGCTAAAGGAAGATGGCATTAACATCCCCTTTTCCATTTTTATTTATGCAATTCATATCTTTATTATTTCATGTATTTTAAGAGTGAGAGGAATTGACCTAATGTTGGTTCCCCAAGTACACGCAAGTATACGTAACCGTCAAGTAATAAAGTGACTCAAAAGCTGGATGTCGAACCCACAGAGACTTAGAGTAATTGTTAACTAAGAAAACTAAAATTAATTTACTGTTAAAGATAATCAAGAGTGATGTTTTTCGATTAATCTATTATTGCAGAAATTAAACAAGTAACGACTAATTTATCGAGAATGCAAATGTGTATAATGAGATTTTAATAAGAGGAGATGAAGATTCCAGGGTTATGGTTGGTTTATCAATCCTATTAAGTTCAATAATCACACTTATTAAGCCAGATTATTAATGCTTGCTAATTGACCGGATCGTTTATATGAATAGTATGTTCCCATAATATTACTCACCTATCCATAATATATCAATCATATATTCTTATGGTATTAAATATATCATGAACGAATATAATACGATATTCAACTAAGCAAGACTGTTAGGTATATTCCTATCCTAACCGCGAAATCGTTCCCCGAGCTACAAGTTCAGAAACAAGCTCTCTTTAATTCTACTCTAATTTAACCACGGCTTTCCCAAGTATAGCATAGATAGTAGGGTAAAATGGTAGCTACAACAAGTCACAAGTTAAAACTAGAATTAAAGAAACAACCACAAGATGATAATCCGAATTAAGAAAGATGTAATTAATAGACGTTAATAATTATGTCAACCACAACCCTAGAAACTAGAGTGCTTAGCCACTCATGTTCATAGTAACAAGTTTTCAAGTATTTTGCATAAACAAATTACAAAGAAAGATGAAGGAATGAAGAACTCGATGATTTTCTCCTCCAAATGTTGTTCCACGTGATGTTTTTGCCTCCAAAAAATGTCCAACCTCTCAAAAATAGGTTTAGAACCCCTTTTATACATGTTGGGGACGTTTAGGGTTGAAATCCCCAAGTCCCAGCTGAATTAGGATAAAATCCGCCCTTTGGCATCTCGCTTGACGCCAACTAGGACAACAAACGTTTTGGTCTTCTGTCATTGGCGTTTTGGTTGGTGCCTAGTGCCAACCTGGACAACAAAATTTTTGGTCTTCTGTAATTGGCCTTTTGGTTGGTTCCTAGCGCCAACCTGGGCATCAAACTTATACTTCCTCCAAAATCTTTCCTTTTTGACGTCAATTTGTATGCAAACTCCCCAAATCACTTCCACTTGACTCCTACACATATAAATACCATTATTAAGCTTGAGTCATAAATATTCACACTAAAGTTAACGAGATGAAGGCATAATGCAAGGCAAATTATATGCAAAAATATAAAATTTTAGCCAAACATCACCACCCCACACTTAAGCTCTTGCTCCTTGAGTAACCAACAATTCACTCTATCTTTGAGCACTTTTTATTTACCACATTTGAAGCACACGACACCAATGACCAAGGTTGATAGCAACAATTAAACTGTAGCATATGCATTAAGAACACACTTCCCTTTAACTTTTGCTATTCTTTGAAAATATTCACAGCAAAGAAAACATGTTCATAACAATCCTAGCGTCAATAACTGACTCAATGTCACCATGCACTCATGGCTTGAACACCCAACATCCTTAGAGAAGTCTAATAATGTTCTTATCCCTCGTGAAACCATGTGCCCTCACAACAAGAATAAGAGAGTAAGCTGAATCCGTACATTCAAATCAAATGCTCAAATATATTTTAAGGATTCATGTATATCAAAGAAAATCGCTCATTCTCACAAAAGAAGTCACATGCATGCAATTGTTACCGTAGGCTTGCCCTTAATGTAAATCTCTACTAATGTAGGCTTACTCAATCTAAAATCAATTAGGACTTTTTTATGGTTGTAATGTGGGCTAAGAGATAGGTAGGATATAATTAGAAATAGCGGTTCACCCTCCTAAGCACTTTAACACATCACATAATTAACTTTAAGTGCATATTCTTCAATCTCAACTTCAATTTCACAACTAACATCACCCAAAAGATTATCTATTTTTCTTTAAGCACTACTTTAATTTATACCCCACTAGCAAGAATAAGATGTTAATTTATTCATCTATATTTTCCTTATCTTTTTTTCCAGATTCTTTTTTTCTTTACAATTTTTGCTAGTGGTGTATTCTTTTACAAAACAAGTGCACCTTTCTTCCTTTCATTGGTTCCACTCGAAAGCCACCCAAAATTCCCTCCTTACTTCTTTTAACGCTCATTTTACAATTAAAGTGCTTTAAGAGGTAAAAGGATCAAAACAATGTCAATTAAGAACAAACAAGGATATAGGCTTGTAATGTGGGTGCCAAATAAAGTCTATAGGCTCAGAATGATTAATAGGGATAGATTTTATTTGTGATAAATATTAAACTCAAAAAGAACAAAGACAGCCTAAAATCATTTTTCAAATCGAGTCTCACCTAAAATTTCGCTTCAACTCACATATCGGGCAAGTTTTAGACACAAGTTCAATGACATGGACTACACAAAAATCTGACTTCACACATGGTACATGAATCACTAAGGACAGTCTCATTCTGACTCTCAAACTAATGCAAGTATTCGCGGAGCCACAAGATGTTAAGCATTAAGTATAAAGTGAACATAAGTCAAGAATACGAGACATAGGCGTTATGAGACATGCAATCCAATTTATAAAGGTATCATGATCAATTTCAAAATATAGGGAATATACTACACATGCCTAAAACTAAATATGCTCCTATCAAACAAGTCAAGGGCACATAGGACTCTCATCTTTCTTCCTCCATTTGTTTTTATGTCCTACACTAAATCAAGAAAATAAAAGAAATAACTACTACCCGGTTCAAACTACATCCTATGGAAAAGAACCAAGGCACAAAGAAAAACCACGAGGGATTATTACTACCTAAAGGAAACTAAAAGACCTATTTTTGGATTTTTGTTTAGCCTTTAATCCCTCGAGAAAACTGTCTAGGAGATCCATCATCGGGAAAAGTCCAATTTTCTACTTTTTTTTTCTTTCATATTTTTTTTTCCATATTTAAAAAAAATGTATACAACTACGAAAACAAAACTAAGAAGCTAAAATCAAAATAAGAAGTTAACATTTTTCTAACATACTTCTACTAATAATCTAGAGGAATTCTCCCACCCCACACTTAAAAGAGTGCAGTATCCCCAATGCACAAATAAAATAAAATAATAACAGGGTAGACGAGAAACTCCCTGAAAGGCCAAAGGTCGAAGCAATAGCGGCTCACGGGGTACTCAGACTTCCCACATGCATGGTCCTTTGTGTGGGCACCTCACACTTAGTTCTCACCATCTAGCTCACTTTTGCACTCTTCCAATGGATTTACTTCCTATGCTTATAATCCTACAAAATAAAAATAGACACTACAAAAATAATATAATAAAAATAAAAGAAAGCAGTAAAGTTGGGTTGCCTCCCAACAAGCACCTGATTTAATATCGCGGTACGATGCATAATCTCGTCTAATCATTGGCAAGTAACACCTTCGACTTCTGACAATCAAAATCACTTCCATAGTAGTGCTTTATTCTCTGTCCGTTCACTAAGAACGTTCTCTCGCCACCTACGATGCACAACTCAATTACACCATGTGGAGTGACTCTCACTACCTAAAACGGGCCCGACCATCTTGATTGAGCTTCCCCGAAAAGTGTCTCAACCTCGAATTGAACAAGAGAACTAGTTGGACCGGTTCGAACTCGTGATTGTGGATATTCTTATCATGCCAGCGATTGGTCTTTTATTTATATAACTTGGCATTCTCATACGCGTGCAAACGAAACTCATCATCGTTCAATTGCATCAATCGTTTTTCCCCCGCTAATTCTGCATCAAAGTTCAACTTCTTTATCGTCCAATAGGCCTTGTGCTCAAGTTTCACCGGTAAATGGCATGCCTTACCGTAAACCAGCTTGTAAGGGGAGGCTCCAATTGGAGTTTTGTAGGCGGTCCGGTATGCCCATAGCGCATCATTAAGCTTTGCAGCCCAATCTTTCCTACTTGCACTAACCGTCTTCTCCAAAATCTGCTTTATTTCTCTATTTGACACTTCAACTTGTCCACTAGTTTGAGGATCGTAGGCAGTCGCAACCTTATGTTTGACCCCGTATTTCGCTAAGACATTGTCCAATAGCTTGTTACAGAAATGGGTGCCCCAATAACTTATCATCACTCTCGGAGTACCAAACCTTGTAAAGATATGTTTTGTCACAAAGTTAACCAAAACCTTGGCATCATTGGCAGGAAGAGCAATGGCCTCCACCCACTCCGACACATAGTCAACGGCCACCAAAATGTACTTGCACCCATTGAACGAGGGAAACAGACCCATAAAATCAATTCCCCACACATCAAAAATTTCAACCTCCATAAAACCATGTAATGACATCTTATGCCTTTTCATAATTGTTCCTGTTCTCTGGCACCTATCACACCTCCTCACAAACTCATGAGCATCTTTAAACAACCTAGTCCATTATAAATCCTATTGCAACACCTTGGCTGCCATTTTGTCACCCGCATGATGTCCACCATAAGGCGATGCATGACAGTCATGTAAGATAGCATTTATTTCAGATTCGAGCACACATCTTCTCATTAACTGATCGGTAAAAGATTTGAACAGAAATGGCTCATCCCACACATATGATCTTACATCTCGCAATAACTTCTTTTTCGCATGAGGTTCAAGGTCAGGCGGCATTTCTCCACTTGCCAGATAGTTTACAAAATTTGCATACCATGGCACCTCCCCAACAGTAATGGCCAACAATTGCTCATATGGGAAGGTTTCTTTGATGACATCTCCCTCAGCTACATGACTCCGAGTTTCTAACCTGGACAAGTGATCGGCCACTTGATTCTCTGTTCCTTTACGGTCTCGGATCTCCAAGTCAAATTCCTGCAAGAGTAAAACCTAACGGATTAGCCTTGGTTTATCATCTTTCTTTTTGAACAAAAATCGGATGATTGCATGGTCTGTGTACACGATGACTTTGGTACCAACCAAATAGGTGTAAAATTTATCGAACGCCCACACTATAGCAAGCAACTCCTTTTCACAGTATATTTTATTTGAGCAGGAGTGAGAGTCTTGCTTGCGTAGTAAATGGAGTGAAATATTTTGCTCTTCCTCTGGCCCAATACGGCCCCAATTGCACCATCACTAGCGTCACACATCAGCTCGAATGGCTCGTTCCAGTCAGGAGCCACTATGATTGGTGCACTCACTAACTTCTTTTTCAGCTCCTCGAATGCTTTCAGACAAGAATCGTCAAACTTGAACAACACATCCTTCTCTAACAACCTGCATAAAGAAGAGGAAAATTTTAAGAAATCCTTTATAAATCGGCGATAAAAACCTGCATGTCCAAGAAAAATCCAAACTCATTTCACTGAAATTGGCGGTGACAGCTTTTCAATTGCTTTCACCTTAGCCTTGTCAACTTCCAGTCCATCTTTGGACACCTTGTGCCCCAACATTATACCTTCACGTACTATAAAATGGCACTTTTTTCGATTCAGTACCAGATTAGTCTTCTTGCACCTAGCAAGCACTTTAGCAAAATTGGTCAAGCATTCATCAAAAGAGGGACCAAATACAGAAAAATCATCCATAAAGACCTTCACAAATCGTTCCACCATATCGGTAAAAATAGCCATCATATACTTTTGAAAAGTCGCAGGTGCATTACATAACCCAAATAGTATTCTCTTAAATGCATAAGTGCTATAAGGGCATGTAAAAGTGGTCTTTTCTTGATCTTCCGGGGTAATAGCAATCTGATTATACCCCGAATAGCCATCAAGGAAACAATAGTATTCCTGTTCAGCTAACCTGTCAAGCATTTGATCAATGAAAAGGAGAGGGAAGTTATATTTTCGTGTAGCATTATTCAAATTCCTATAATCTATGCATATTCGCCAACCGGTCACAGTCCTAGTTGGGATTAATTCATTTTGTTCATTCACTACAACAGTCTTACCCCCATGTTTAGGTACACATTGGACAAGGCTTACCCACTTACTATCGGAGATAGGAAACACTATACCTGCATCGAGCCTCTTAATCACTTCTTTTCTTACCACCTCTTTCATGATTGGATTTAGGCGGCGTTGATGTTCCATGCTAGGCTTGTGTCACTCTTCCATGAGTATTTTGTGCATGCAGAATGTTGGGCTAATACCCTTTATGTTAGACATTGTCCAACCAATGGCACGCTTGTGCTCCCTCAGTACCCTTAATAGCTTTTCTTCCTGCAAGTTAGACAAATGAGAGGAAACAATCACAGGCAAAGTGTTAGAACTTCCCAAATATGCATAATGAAGATGATACGATAAGGGCTTAAGTTCCAGTTTTGGGGCCTCCTCAACTGAGGGTTTAGGGAGCGGGACAATTGGCCTATCCAGAGGCTCAAATTGGGATCTTTCTCTTATGTATTCGCAAGATGCATCCAGAATTTGCATCATCTCCTCAACCTCTTCTTCAAGTTCCAAGTGATTGAACAACATCAATGCCTTTTCTAGTGCATCTTCTTTAAATGCACTTGGATCCACGACTGCTTCATTTATTTCCACTACAGAAATCATGGCAAGGTACTCGTAATGACGAGGCAAATGAATGGATCGATATACATTAAAGACTGCTTCTTCTTTGTACACCCTCATGATCATCTTACCTTCTAGGACTTTGATAATTGCATCTCCAGTGGACAACAAAAGTTGTCCCAAGATTATAGGAACTAACTTATCAGCCTCGTAGTCCATGATGATAAAATTAGTAGGGAAAATAAACTTCCTAATCTGCAGCAAGACGTCCTCAATTGCCCTCTCAGGATAAACATAAGATCTATCAGCTAACTGTTGTATCACCGTGGTAGGTCTCGAAGCTCCTAGCCCTAATTGTTTGAACACTGACAACGGCATCACATTGATACTTGCACCCAAATAACATAAGGCTCTACTGCTCTACCCACATAAATTTCACCAATCCTCACGGGAATGGTAAAACTACCCGGATCCTTAAGCTTTCATGGAAGATTATGTTGAATCCTGGGAGTGCACTCCTCAGTAAGTGAGACAGTCTCAAACTCAGTTAACCTCCTTTTATTTGCCACTATATCCTTAATATATTTTACATATTTTGAGACATTACAGAGCATGTCCACCAAAGGGATGTTCAAGTGTATCTGCTTCAGCATATATAGAAATTTGTGGTCATCATTCTTCTTTCTCAATCTTTGAGGAAAAGGGGTGGCACCCACTCTGATATATGCTTAGACTCTGTTTTATTTTTCTCATCTACCTCTACAGGTTTTGGCACTCTTTCTTCTTCAAGCTCAGACGACTCCTTTTTCTTCTTAGGCACTTCTACAAACTCTCTCCCATTTCTCAACATCACTGCATTGACTTGAGGAGTTTTCTATGTATCACTTGGCAGAGCTCCAGCAGGTCTAGTTTTCTGATTGTTAGCCATTTTCCCAAACTGCCTCTCTAGATTTCTGAACTCTGTGCGCAACTGTTGATTGTCTATCAAGTGCTTTTTCATCATATCAGTCAAACTCTCCTTTGCTTGTTGTGGGGGTTTAGGTGGCTGATTGTAAATAGTTTGAGGCCTGTTATTCTGATTTCCACCCCAAGAGAAGTGAGGATGATTCCTCCAGTTCGAGTTGTATGTGTTACCATATTGAGCATTTTGATTCAGCGGCCCTCTAGCTTGTTGTCCAACATACTAGATGGATTCAGGATTCACGGGGCATATGTCACTTGTGTGACCTTCACCACATAACTCACAGCAAGTAGACATTTGTTGCACATGTTGTATCTGTTGTGCTTGGTGCATTATCATTTTATTCATCCGATTTGCTAATCTAGATATATCTGCCCTCATGGCTGAGAAATTATCAAGCTCAATTACACCTGATGCCTTCTGTTTAAGTGCTCTTCGTGGTTCCCTATCTCCTTGCTAATTATTATCATTAGCAATGAAATTGTTTAGCAGGATCTGGATTTCACTATACGGTCTTGCCATGCAACTACCCCCACATGCCGAGTCAAGATTCATCTTCGATGTCTCGTCCAACCCATCAACGAAAGTGTGACCTAACACCTCATCAGTTTGACAATGATGTGGGCAGTCTCTGAGTAACTTTTTGTATCTTTCCAAAGCTTGACTAAGAGTCTCGCCATCTCGTTGTTGAAACCCAAGAATCTGGTCCTCAGCGAATTTGTCTTCTTAGTAAAATTCTGAATGTGCCGCTGCGGATCTTCATGAGATAAACCCACATACTGCCCTGTGAACTAATAAGTTGTACCATATATTGTTTGAGCTCAAAGTGACCCGTGATATTATGCTTCACTAAGCCTGAGTCATATGAGCAAGATAAGGCCTTGCGGCCTCGATCACTGGTCGCTCTTCCTGACCTGCCATCTCAAGTGGTTGAGGTTGAACTACAATGTCCAACTCTCCTTCTGTTCTAGTCCTAGCTTCGACTTTCCTCCTTACCCCGTGAAGTGTTCGTTCTATTTCAAGATCAAGTGGAAGGAGGTTGTTCGCACTTTTACTCCTCCGAATTCAAGAGAAGAACCTGCGTTATCACAAATAAAGCAAACTAAAAATTAAAACTTGAACAACTAACGAATAAAAGCTTAACTTAAATAAACAATCAATAACTAAGTCCCTAACAACGGCACCAAAAAACTTGTTGGTTCCCCAAGTACACGCAAGTGTACGTGGCCGTCAAGTAATAAAGTGACTCGAAAGTCGGATGTCGAACCCACAGAGGTTTAGAGTAATTGTTAACTAAGTAAACTAAAATTAATTTACTGTCCAAGATAATCAAGAGTGATATTTTTCGATTAATCTACTATTGCGGAAATTAAATAAGTAACGAATAATGTTTCGAGAATGTAAATGTGTATAATACGATTTTAATCAGAGGAGATGAAGATTCCAGGGTTGTGGTTGGTTTATCAGTCCTATTAAATTCAATAACCACACTTGTTAATCCAGATTATAATACGGTATTCAATTAAGCAAGACTGTTAGGCATATTCCTATCCGCACCGCAAAATCATTCCCCGAGCTACAGGTTCAGAAACTAGCTCTCTTTAATTCTACTCTAAACTAAACACGACTTTCCCAAGCATAGCATAGATAGTAGAGTGAAATGGTAGCTACAACAAGTCACAGGTAAAAACTAGAATTAAAGAAATAACCACGAGATGATAATCCGAATTAACGAAGATGTAATTAATAAACGTTAATAATCATGTCAACTACAACCTTAAAAACTAGAGTGCTTAGTCACTCATATTCCTAGTAACAATTTTTCAAGTATTTTGTATAAACAAATTACAAAGAAAAAATGAAGGAATAAAGAACTCGATGATTTTCTCCTCCAAAAAGTTGTTCCACGTGATGTTCTTGCCTCCAAAAAATGTCCAGCCTCTCAAAATAGGTTTAGAACCTCTTTTATACATGTTGGAGATGTTTAGGGTTGAAATTCCCAAGTTCCAGCCGAATTAGGACAAAATCCGCCCTTTGGCGTCTCGCTTGGCGCCTGGCGCCAACCAGGACAACAAACTTTTTGGTCTTCTGTCATTGGCGTTTTGGTTGGTGCCTAGCGCCAACCTGGACAATCAACTTTTGGCGTTTTGGTTGGTGCCTAGCGTCGACCTAGACAACAAACTTTTTGATCTTCTGTCATTGGCGTTTTGGTTGGTGCCTAGCGCCAATCTGGGCACCAAACTTATACTTCCTTCAAAATCTTCCCTTTTTGACGTCAATTTGCATGCAAACTCCCCAAATCACTTTCAATTGACTCTACATATAAATACCATTATTAAGCTTGAGTCACAAGTATTCACACTAAAATTAACAAGATCAAAACATAATGCAAGATAAATTATTTACAAAAACATGAAATTTTAGCCAAACATCACCTAACATTAGTACAACCAGTTACTCATAGACGCATAACAAAAAAACATGAAAATGAAGAAGAGAACGAAAAATCTTTTACAATGTTAAGTCGTCTGAATTTCAGCCTTGGCTCTATCCCTTGTGAGGTTAAACTATTATTTGTAATAACTACCGGGAATAATAGGAAGATTTAGAAAGTCTGACATTTGGCCTATATGATTGCATTGGGCATTGGGGTGTAGGTTCCTGTTACATAGCAAACATGTGTCTCGCTGCAAATAATAGTTTTACCTTTCAATTGCCACACAAGATTGCTTTAATTGTAGTATTGGAGCTTAATTATGAGTCTCATCCACAAATCAATTATGACTCTAATTTGGTAGGGCGATTATGGAATATACACTATAGCTATGAAGTGCAAATCTTGTTAACAGAATTATACCTTGATTTCTATGAGGCATCTAAAGTTGGGTATCCACATGTTTGGACCAATCCAAAAACAAAAAACTAAACTTGAGAGATTATTTTAAAATTTTATTCATATGCATCATAATATTGACACGTTAACTTATTGCGATCATGACAATACATATACTGCGAAACAACAATAACAACAACCCAGTGAAATTTTACTAGTGAGGTCTGGGGAGGGTAATGTATACGCAGACATTACTCCTACCCCGAAAAGGTAGAGAGGCTGTTTCCGAAAGACCCTCGGCTCAAGAGCACAAAAAGACAAAATAAGACAATATCAGTATCACCACAGAAATTATAGGAAAAATAGGAACAACATGAAATCCAGAAGAAAGATGCAAAGCAAAAACGAAAAAAAAGCAAAAACAAAAACGATAGCTATTAAATTGGTCCGACACTGAAACGCAAAATAGTAAGACACGACATTTTCACTAGCTAGCTTAGACAAAAACTCTACCAGACTAGTCTCACAACGGTACGAAATAAGACAAGACTCAACTACCTTCTAACCTACAACCCTAATACCCGACCTCCACATCTTCCTATCAAGTTCCATGTTCTCGAAAATCTGAAGTCTCGCCATGTCCTGCCTGATTACCTCTCCCCAATACTTCTTCGGCCGCCCTCTACTTCTTCTCGTGCCCTCCACAACCAGCCGCTCACACTTCCTTACCGGGGCATCTGGGCTCCTCCTCTGTATATGCCCGAACCATCTGAGCCTCGCTTCCCGCATCTTTTCATCAATGGGAGCCACGCACACCTTCTCCTGAATATCAACATTCCTAATCTTATCCATCATAGTGTGCCCGCATATCCACCTCAACATCCTCATTTCTTCTACTCTCATTTTCTGGATATGTGAGTTCTTAACTTCCCAACACTCAGCCCCGTACATCATGGCCGGTCTAACCACCACTTTATAGAACTTACCTTTGAGTATCGATGGCACTTTCTTGTCACACAGGACTCTAGATGCTAACCTTCACTTCATCCATCCTACCCCAATACGGTGTGTGACATCCTCGTCGATCTCTCCTCCCCCCTGGATAACCGACCCAAGGTACTTGAAGCTGCCTCTACTTGAGATGGCCTGTGAGTCAAGCCTCACATCCACAACCACTTTTCCCGGCTCAGCGCTGAACTTACACTCCAGGTATTCCGTCTTCTTTCTGCTCAGCTTGAAACCCTTAGACTCAAGAGCCTGTCTCCAAACCTTCAGCCTCTCGTTAACACCGGCTCGAGTTTCATCAATCAAAACTATGATGAAAAATGAATTAAATAAAAATCTTCGGAACAAGTCAATAGCTTCAATGTCCACTTAAGTCGGAAAAGAAAAAGAAAAAGAAAAAGAAAAAGAGAAGCACAGACATAGAAATGCTTAAATATGATGAAAAAGCGAAAAAAACAGCCAATAGTAAAGTAAAAGATTCCAAATTCAATTTGTGTACAAGTCAGGTGACATGTGAATATTCCAAGAAACATTGCATTGTACCTCCATTAGATTTTTACCACTAGCCTTCGCAACAAG